CCTGCAGTTATTTATGTAATAAAAATTTGTTGAGATTGGTTAAATAAAGCAGTGTGATAAAGCAGAAAAAATTAAACTTTCTTCCTTCTCCTTGGTAAACCGAATAAAGTGAGGCTTTTGCAAAATTACCTATCAGGCCCGGCTAGGAACTGAAAATAGGGAGAGACCATGAGTCCACCTGACAACCCTAAGCAATCATGTTGGAGTTGCTACCCTCCTTCTACCAGCTTTGGAGGCAGTATTACTGGGGGAAAAAAACATCAGTGTATCTGAAATTCCTATGCCTAGCTTGCCAGTTTCCCCAGCTCAGGCCACCTGAATATCTTCCACCTTGCTGCAATCTCTAACATCAATTAGAATGGAACCTGTGTTCCTATATAGTTCTTAGAGAAGGCAAGTAAAAGAACTTTTCTTTTTTAAAAAACTATTTTTAATTTATTATTTTTTTATTTTTTTCAAGGTGAAGTCTAAAATAAGGAAGAACCTTCATTCTCAATTAGGACGTCACACAGCAGAGTGGTTAACAGCATGTATTTTGGCATCAGCCCACCTACATTCATTATCCTAGTTCTGCCACATCTTAGCTGTGTGACGTTGGGTGACCTGGTTACTTTTCTATGGCTTCCTCATTTACAAAACAGGGGGGATAATAAGTGTCTGCACCACAGAGTTACATGAGGATTAAATGAATTAATATATGTTTTAACTTTAGCACTTAGAATAGTGCCTGGCACACGATAAGCACTACATATATTATTTACTATTATTATTAATTCCTCTCACTGAGTCAACTTATTTAATTGGCTATCAAGTCCTACTGATCTTTTCAATAAAAATTCTCAGCAACATTTCTTCCATCCCTACTATCACTGTTTTAGCTCATGTTTTCAGACTGTAGCAGTCACATGTATTCACTTTACAAGTAAACTTATAAATAGCTAGAATAAAAATGAACCAGATACATGTTTCTGGGAATAAAAAGATGTAAGACAAATAGAACTCTAGAATTTCAACCCTAAATGAATCTAGAAAAGTCCACAACGAATCAAAAATTACAGCACAGCATGATTACTGCTATATCAGAGTAATACATATAGATACTAAGGTAACATTGAGAAAGAGGTTACAAAAAAAGTATTTCTGACTTTTACTTCTTCAAAAAAGACTTAGGATCTACTCCCCATTCCATAAGAACTATGAACATATCCTTACTGGAGCACTTAACACATTATATTACTTTTATGGGATGTCCAAGTCATGGCTACTTTAACATGTCTAAAACAGACTTCTTAATTTCCCCACCTGCACCTTTGATCTCTATTCTGCCTCCCTTGTGTTCCTTCCCTGCCTTCATCACGTCAAATGGTACCATCTTTTGTGTAGGCACTTGCCCCAGGTAAAAAGCTGAGGAGTTGTTTTTGAGTTTTCTCTTTCCCTGATTCCCATTTAATTGATTAGCAAATCTTGTTGATTCTACCTTCAAATATATATCCTAAATCCATCAACTTCTCTATATTTTTGTTATCACCTCTCTAGTCCAAGTCACCATCATTTCCCACCTAGAACACTGCAACCATTCCTTACTGTCTTTCTGCTTCTACTATTGCTCTCTACAACCTATTCTCCACACTGAAATCAAATCAATCACTTCAAAATAATGAAATCCTGTGGGAGGGGAGAAGAGAGGGAAACAGAAACAAACAAAAAAGAAAATTACAGTAAGATGATACTGGCTCAAAAATATGCCAGTGGCTTCCCACTGCAATTAAGAATAAAATCCAAACTTTTCAAGGCCTTAAATGATTTGGCCCTTGTCTTCACTGTCAAGATCTAGTACTCCCTTCTTTGTTCACCCACTAACTTTTTCTTTCTGTTCCTCTAATGTGCTGCTTCAGTCTGAATGTCTGTGTCCTCAAAAAATTCTTAAGTTGAAATCCTAACCCCTAAAGTGATCACATTAAGAGGCACAGTCTTGGCTGGGCATGGTGGCTTACACCTATAATCCCAGAACTTTGGGAGGCCGAGGTGGGTGGATCACCTGAGGTCAGGAGTTCGAGACTAGCCTGGCCAACATGGTGAAATACCCCCTCTACTAAAAATACAAAAATTAGCTGGGCATGGTGGTGGGCCTGTAATCCCAGCTACTTGGAAGGCTGAGGCAGGAGAACAGCTTGAGCCCAGGAGGCAAAGGTTGCAGCGAGCCAAGATCGCACCACTGCACTCCAGCCTGGGAGATAGAGTGAGACTCCATCCCCCACCCCAAAAAAAAAAAAAAAAAAGGCATAGTCTTTAGAGGGTGATTAGATCATGATGAGTTGCCCGTATATTATAGTCCCCAGAAAGCTTCCTCACCCCTTCTAATGTATGAGGACACAGTCTGAAGTATCATTTATGAACAAAAAAACAGGCCCTCACCAGACACTGATTCTGCTGGCAACTTATCTTAGAATTCCTAGTCTCCAGAACTATAAGAATTAAATTAATGTTGCTTATATATTTCATTATAGCACCTGAAAGGACTAAGGTATGTGCCAATAGCATTCGCCTTCAAGTCCTCTACTCTTGCTTTTCCTCTCAGGAACCCTTTCTATCCAGCCTTTCACATGGCTATCTTCTCACACTCAACTCTTTGGCTGAAATGTCAGAAAGTCTTCCCTGACTTCTTACCTAAAGTAGCCTCTCTCCCAGTCGCTCTCTCAAATAAGTGTTAAGTTATTTGCACTTATCACTTCTTGAAATGGTACCATTTTATTTGCTCACTTGTTTACTGTCTGTCTCCCCCTACTGGCGTATAAAATTCAAGAGCCCTAGGCTTTTGTCTTCTGCTATATCCCTATTGCCTTACAAGTGCCCAGCACAAAGTTGAAACTCAATAAAACATTTCCAAAATAAGAAATTTTAATGATTGAAACAAAGCAGTTTCAATGATGGGTGAAAACAAATCTGAAGAGGACTAATTTATAAATAAATGTAAACTTCTTTTAGGAAACATGATTGTGAGAGGAAGAGAGGTATAGCAAAAGGTGGTAGACGACCAAGGTTATGGAAAGGTCATTACAAAAGGAGAAAAACTTGCTCCTTCATTCTCTTTACATAAGGATCCTCTTTCAGAATTAAAGATGTATTGCCCTGAGACAAGAAAAAGCAAGGATACATGAAGATTTAGACACCTGTAATCTCAATATCCCAGCACTTTGGGAGGCCAAGGCCATAGAATCACTTGAGCCCAGGAATTGGAGACCAGCCTGGACAACATAGTGAGTCCCTGTCTCCACAAAAAAATGAAAAATAAATTAGCCAGGCCTCGTGGCACCCACCTGTGGTCCCAGCTACTTGGGAGTCTGAGGTACGAGAATAACTTGAGCCCAGAAGGTCAAGGATGCAGTGAGTCATAATCTCACCACTGCATTCCAGCCTGGGCAACAGAGTGAGATATTTTGGGAAACAATCAGCAAACTAAATGCTGCAGGCAACAATAAAGATTAATCTTAACAAAATGTTGAGTAGAGAAGCAAGATGTAAATGAATACTTAGTACAATTCCATTTATAGGAAGTTCAAAAACAAGCCAAACTATAATGTGCATGTTCACACACAATGATGTGAAACATTAAGGAAAATCGAGGAAGTAGCTATCTCTGGGGAGGGAAAGGAACATGTAATCTGAAAAGGTGATATATAGTAATACCTCTAACTGCCTCTGTGTAGGGAGGACTTCAAAACCAAATGGTCCTAAACAAACTAGTCTAAGCAACTGAAAAAGAAGACAGAATAGAGACCCCAGTGAAACTCTACACCTGATTATATTCTGGGCTACAAGCAGTGATTTTTCTTCAGAAGGTAAACAATGCGTGAAATATTCTGGAAGCTGCCATTAAATAATGCCGAAGTTTATTATTTAAAATTAATATTTCATTAATGTACCTTCCTAGTTATTTATCACTAATAACGACTGAAGAGTTTGGCTAATCAATTAAAAGACAAACAATCTGTTTTATCCTGGAGGCAGATTCGAAAGAGACATTCTACTTACATATTTATAACTAGTCTGTTTTTTTCCTACTTACAAACCGATTGTTATTCTATTTATGTCCTTACACGTAAACAAAGCATATTTGAAACGCTGAAAACCAGTAGAGAAAATTTTAAACAAGAAAATCTCCTAGGATATAAAGGACTGGAATGGAAGAAGGAAAACGCTGAGACACTGTCATCTATGCAAACTTTCCTGAAGCCTCAAAAAAAAAAAAAATGTGAAAAAATGTACTTATTTCTGTGAGTTTTTAGGTATCAAGTCCATGATCACCTAGTTATCCAACTGAAGTCTCAAATATGTTTTCAACAAAAGCCAGCTTTCCCTGCCTTTACTGTGTACAACTCTTCCTGAAATTTATCTGAGATTTCCATGCAAATGCCTACGTAATCTCGGTCTTTCACCACCCCAAGTCTAGAAAGGGGCTCAGAAGTGAGCGATCAGGAGTCAGGTTTAACTCCCAAATCTGTGATTTCCAAATTCCTCGCTCCACCAGAGCTTCCAGAGCGTTTCTAAATAAAACAGTACCCCCAACAACCAAGCGGAAAGCTGCGGCAGGACGCAAAGCGGTGACCATAGGAACTGGGCTTCAACCTAACTTCCCAAGAAACAGGGGCAACTCGTGCTGCCGGGCTTCCGGCCCGCCGCCGCCCCTCACAGCGGCTCCCCCGGCTCCCGCCCACCTCCGCCCGCCAAGGCCCCGCACCCGCCACTCCCGCCCGCTTGCAGCCTGCTTTTCCGAGACCTTCCGGCGCAGGAGCAGCTCTCCCCACCCTGCGCATCTCCGCAGCTTCTACCTGGAGCTCCGGGTCCCTCCCCGAGCTCCGTGGCCCGCTGTCCTCCCCAGAGCTCATCCCCGCGACTGCCAGCTCTCGGCCTCCGCCGGGGATACCAGAACCGCCCCGTCTCCATCCTCCGCCCCTTTCTTCTCCCTTCCCACCCCCAAGTCGTCTTGGCCCCACCCCAGCGGAGTCGGAGGAAGGAGGGAGCCTGAGGGAAGGAGGAGGGGGCGGTTAGCGCCAGCCGGCGCCGCCGTGGCCCCGCCCTCACGCTCTGTACCGGAGTGGGGCTCGTCTTCCACCTCCCCGGCGCCCCAGCTTTGCTTCCGTCCCACGCGCCCCTAGGTTCCGTGCGCACGCGTACCTGGCTCGATCTTCCCTCTCGCGCTGACTACAGGCCGTGTGCGCGCACCTACGCACAGAGCGACGCGTACGTCCACCTGCCTGCCTTACAAGGCGTCTTGGGGGGCTTCTTCCTGGCCTGTCCGCGCCGCGCAGGCGCACGCCCACGCAGCGCCTAGACGCCCGACCCGAGCGTTCCGTCTCCTAGTAACCAGTCGCGAGCCCCCTTTTCCGAGATTCATTTTTTATTCCCTGCCTGTGGCGGCCGCACCTGGATAGAACGCGCATGCGCAAGGCTGTCTGTCGCTGCGCCTCCTACCTTCAGCTTGGAACACCTGCTGCTTTGCGGCAGTGGCTTTGTGCCACTTTTCCCAGGGCTTGGACGTCATTCTGGACCCACGTTCGGTGAACCGGTTACTCCCAGAACTGCAGCCAGGGTCCATTTTGAGGGAGCCTTCCAGGTCCAGTCCTCCCGCTGCAGCCTGCTGGTAGCAAGCCGACCTGTCCGGGTGAGCACGGGCAGCCTGCAGTTAGGGGAGCCTGGGGACCACCGTCTCAGTTAGCTCTGCACGATCTGGGCTGAATCAGAAAGTAGCAGAACTGCAACGAAAGTCTAGATTCCTGACCGATATTCCTTTTCCACATGCCAGTCCTTTTCCAAATCCCGTTACCTTGAAGTGCACAAGTGAGCTTTTTGGTGAAAAAGAAAGAGGGCTGCATTCTTCTACCTTTTTTTTTTTTTTTTTTTTTTTTGGAGCCCAGCATGGAAAAAGAAATTCTTCTTAATATTTCTTAATATCTACCATGTCCCTTCTTAAATAACCCAAGAGTTTCTGGATAATAATGGTGACTTTATCTCCTTTTCCTACAGATGATATAGATACCAGGTTTTTACAGCAATTCTCTGATGACCTTGATATGGTAGAACGCTGTGTATTTCAAAAGTAGGCTCTCATTTGAGGAGACTAACAATTCCTGTTTTTGCCAGGTGAGTACTCATTTTTTTCCCCACAAGATATCATTGGCAGGGATAAACTTTTATGTTAGAACAAATTTAGTCATAAAAATACATTTAATATAAGTGCTTTGTTTTTCTAATCTCTCTTCATCGTTATCACAGTCATATATTTTGTCACATTTATTTTCGGATAGCATATATTTTGTAAGTTTAATTAGATACCAAAAAAAATTAAGTGTCCCTGTTACTTTAGATTAAGAGGTTGGAGAACACAAGGAGCACATATCCTCTGAAATATTTTTAGTTGACAAAATAACAAACTGAGAGGTTGTGTTAGACGGAATAACAGACAATCTCATTTCCTCTTCAGATACTAAGATTATTTTGAATACATTATCTAGCATTATTAAAAAACAAATAGGAAAGAATGTTCTAAGTTTAAAACTATCAGTTGGAGTTGAAGACTTGAGGGGGTGGGGAGATTATTAATATAGGAAATAGGAAACTTCCCTTACGGAAAGAATAAGAAAAATTTAAGCACTTATGTATGCCACCTAGATGGTACTGAAGATTCTTTGGAATGTAGGGAAATGATCATTTTAAGGTGAAGAGGGTGAAAAGACTCTTTTTTTTCCTACCAAGGACTGTTGACTTTCTCCCCTAACCCGAGAAAGTAAAAATTTCCTTCCCTCTGTGGCAGGGTGCCTCATGCCTGTAATCTTAGCACTTTGGGAGACTGACGTGGACGGATCACCCGAGGTCGGGAGTTCAAGACCAGCCTGGCCAACACAGTGAAAGCCCATGTCTACTTAAAATACAAAAATTAGCCAGGTGTGGTGGTGCACATCTGTAATCCCAGCTACTGGTAAGGCTGTGGTAGAGAATCACTTGAATGTGGGAGGCAGAAGTTACAGTGAGCAGAGATCACGCCACTGTTTATATTGTTTTCATTGAATAGAAATTCTCAATTATGAGTAATCGGACTCACCTATTTTCCCCCCTTATTGTTTAAGCTTTTTAGGTCTTGTTCAGGAAATCCTACTTCACCCCAAGGTAACAGATATATTGTCTTTCATTTTCTTCTACTGCATTTACAGTTCTGCCATTCACATTTAGGTCGTTAATGCATTTGCACTCCACTTCTGTATTTAAGATCCTGCTTTACTTTTGTCTTCATAGTGAGCCAGCATTCACAATACTATCATACTAAACTTAGTCTGTTCTATCTCCTTTGCCTGATAGTGCCACCTGTAACATATGTGAAGTTCCTGAACCTAAGTCCAAGTTGCAGCTCTGTCATATTCTACTGATTATTTGTTCCTGTACCTGTACAAGGTTATTTTTATTACTTTCACTTTGTGGCATATTTTTTTTAAAAATTTTTCTGATAGAGACAAGGTCTCCCTATGTTGCCCAGGCTGGTCTCAAACTGCTGGACTCAAGAGATCCTCCCAACTTGGCTTCCACAGTGCTGGAATTACAGGCATAAGCCATTGTGCCCAGCTGTGTAGCATATATATATATTTTTTCATTTCAGTAGCACAGAAGCATATCTTAATATCTAGTAAAGAAAGCCTCTTTGTTCTTTTTGTCCAGATTGATTTATCTCTGTATGTACCTTTATTCTTATATATATATATTCCAGATTTCTTCCTGAATGGCAACCTAAATGCCAAAGAGGCCCCAATAGACTTGTTCGCCCTTCATGTCCTCAACTCTGAGGAATTTAAGGTGGGACTCACAGGGCACCAAGTCTACCCTATTGTATTTGGTTCCTCCTCAGTCCCTTTATCCGAATGAAGTTTAATATGCAACTTGATAATTATGTAAGTTATTTTACATTTGTTGATTTTCAAATGCAATGTTTGATAGAGTTTTGTTTTTTAAAAACTTTTTTCAATTTTGTTTTTCAAAAAAGTTTTAAACCTACAGAAATGTAATAATAATAATAGGTAGAACCATTTTTTAATGCTTTATATCCTAGATTTATCAGTTGTTAGCATTTTGCATATTTTAACTCTCTTGCTGTATCTATCTAGCTACCTATCTATTACTAAACAATTTTGAGGGCATGTTGCAAATATGATTTTTCACCCCTATTTCAGTATGTATTTCCTAAGAACAAGGACATTAACTTATATAACCCCAATACAATTATCATATTCAAGGCATTTATCACATTGATCCAATATTAGTATCTAATAAATCTCCCATATCCAAATGTTGCAGTTATCAAAGTAATGATCTTTGTAGTATATTCCATCCCCTTCTCAATTCAAGAGCATGGGTTGCATTTGAAATCATGTATCTTTAGCCTTCTTTAATCTGAAACAGTTGCTCAGCCTCTCTGTGTCTTTCATAACATTGACATTTCTAGTTAGAAGCTATTTGTTTCATAGAAGATATCTCTGTTTGGGTTTATCTAATTTTTTCCTCATGTTTAGATTCAAGTTATGCATTTGACAGTAGTAGTTCCTTTCTAACAAAAAGAGAAACCAAAGACTAGAATAAACTCAATTTTATTAATTTGAAGGCAGTATTAGATATTCCTTTGATGAGGAAGAAAAATTCATCTTCAGGTTCCAAATCTAAGAAACAAGTATACCCATATTTCAGAATTTCATCAAGAAATCTTTAAAAATTTAGCTACATTGTATTTGATTCCCAGAAAGCCAAATATATACTATTTACCTAATTGTTATATTAACATTTGAGTAACTACTATATTTAGGCTACTACAGTAGGCCTAGGACTCTGTTTTATTACAAACACTGATATTCAGTTACAAATATGGATAAAGAGGGTTTCAAGATGATTGTAATTAGAGCTTGATGAGTATGGATTGTAAATTACCAAAGATATAGTAGCTAAATATGAAAGACATAACACATTCTAAAATGTGGGTGAGGCTGGGTGTGGTGGCTGACACCTATAATCCTAATACATTGGAAGGCTGAGGAGGGTGGATCACCTGTGGTCAGGAGTTCAGGACCAGCCTGGCCGACATGGTGAAACCCTGTCTCTACTAAAAATACAAAAATTAGCTGGGCATGATAACACACATCTGTAATTCCAGCTACTTGAGAGGCTGAGGCCGGAGAATCACTTGAACCTGGGGTACAGAGGTTGCAGTGAGCTGAGATTGCATCACTGCACTCTAGCCTGGACAACAGAGCAAGACCTTGTCTCAAAAAAAAAAAAAAAAAGAAAAGAAAATACAAACATTAGCTGGGCATGGTGGCAGGCATCTATTCCAGCTACTCCAGAAGCTGAGGCAGGAGAATCGCTTGAACCTGGAGGGCAGAGGTTGCAGTGAGCCGAGATTGAGGCAGATCACACCCCCCTGGGCAAAAAGAACAAAACTCTGTCTCAAAAAAAAAAAAGTGGGTGAGTGCTTTCACTCAAAGCCATGGAATCTGCTCCACATCTCAGGTTGCTACTAGAGCATCCTGGGTAGATCACCCTTCTCCAGTAAGCCCTGGGCTTTCCCTAACCTTTACTGTGCAAGAAGCCTGTCCCTTCTGCCATCCTAGTCAACTCTGCCTACCAGATTCCTGCCCATCTTTGAAAGCGCAACCCTGACCTAGGCTCCCCTCCTTTGGGAAACTTCCCAAGGCCTCCCTCCATGCTGCATGATCATCTCTCTTAACAGACTGGGCATCCTTAATCACAAGTATCTTTTTCTTCTTTTTCTTTCTTTTTTTTGGAGACAGAGTCTCACTTGTCACCCAGGCTGTAGTGCAATGGCACGATCTCGGCTCACTGCAACCTCTTGTCATCTGGGTTCAAGTGATTGTCTTGCCTCAGCCCTCCTGAGTTGCTGGGATTACAGGTGCAGGCCACTATGCCCAGCTAATTTTTGTATTTTTACTAGAGACAGGATTTTACCATGTTGGCCAGGCTGGTCTCAAATTCCTGACCTCCAGTGATCCACCGGCTTCAGCCTCCCAAAGTGCTGGATTACAGGCGTGAGCCACTGTACCCAGCCAATCACAAGTATCTTTATAGGACATCTTCATTTTTTGCAGAACATCTAGCAGAGTACTTGGCCTGCTAGATTTCTTTAGCCCATTAGTAATGAATTAAAAAGTTTTGCTAGCAAGAATGAAAGAAAGGATTAAGAGAAGTTCTACTAATTTCTGAAAGGTAATAAAACATAAAATCTGATTCCTTTTTAAAGACTTTCAAAGAAATCTTTAGAACCTGCAAACCCTTCCACAAAGAAAATGTAAACACTGAAAGGTGGGAGGCAATTTTACTTTATATATCTAATATCACCATGGCATTTTATTCAAACAAACATTGCCATGAAGTTAGAAAAATGCCTGCTGCATTCACTTGTCACATTTTTTTCAGCAATCAAGTTGAAGAAACGTTTCCACTACTTAAAAAGGTGCCTCCAAATTACTTTCATATTTATTCAGCTATCCCAATGGGATTTTCACTTAGTAAATCTGCTACTCAGGTATCTGCTATGCATATGGATTCAAAAGTGGATGATCACCTACTACGAGGGACTGAAAAAAGCAGGCTGGAACCAATGACTCGGTTATTTCAAAACACCAAGAAAATAGGATTAGAAGACACAAATCAAGAAAACGTTACAAGGATTGAAGGGACTGGCACAGGATCTCTTTCTGAGAAAGCCTTGGGTTCAGTGGTATACGTCAAAGAAAATGATGGACTAGAAGTGACAGATGTGGAATGAAGCCATGTGTACATATTACCAATTTGTACATATTGCCTTTTATTAACGGGGTATTGAAAGAGAACTTAATCTTATTAGGAAACCCTAACAAAATGATGGAAGACTATTGCTTTATTTTTCACTATTTATCAGTCATCTTACCCTGCATTTTTTGATGATGCCTATTCAAAAGGCAGTTGCTTTAGGGAGAAAAAGCCTTCCAAATTCAAAGCAGATTTCTCTGATATTCTATCTTTCTTAAAAATGAGAGTTTTTTAGTAACACTATCTGAATGGCACCAAAACATTTTCATTTTAATGTATTTCTTTAACAAGTGGTTAAGGCCGGGCACGGTGGCTCACGCCTGTAATCCCAGCACTTTGGGAGGCCAAGGCGGGTGGATCACGAGGTCAAGAGATCAAGACCATCCTGGTCAACATGGTGAAACCCCGTCTCTACTAAAAATACAAAAAATCAGCTGGGCATGGTGGTGGGTGCCTGTAATCCCAGCTACTCAGGAGGCTGAGGCAGGAGAATTGTCTGAACCCAGGAGGCGGAGGTTACGGTGAGCCGAGATCGCGCCATTGCACTCCAGCCTGAGTAACAAGAGCGAAACTCTGTCTCAAAAAAAAAAAAAGTGGTTAAAAAAAAGTGTCCAGGCAGCCAGGCACGGTGGCATACACCTGTAATCCTAGCACTTTGGGAGGCTGAGGCGGGTGGATCACCTGAGGTCAGGAGTTCACAACCAGCCTTGTCAACATGGTGAAATCCCATCTCTACTGAAAATACAAAAAAATTAGCCAGACGTGGTGGCAGGCACCTATAATCCCAGCTACTTGGGAGACTGAGGCAGGAGAATCACTTGAACCTGGGAGATGGAGGTTGCAGTGAGCCAAGATTGCACCATTGCACTTCAGCCTGGGCAACAAGAGCGAAACTCTGTCTCAAAAAACAAACAAAAAAGTGCCAAGCAATGTAACCTCTGTATTTCACACTATTTCTGATGTACCAGTTTTGTATATTACATTTCCATTTTGAGATTCTGCTTTAGGATACTTTACTTTTTACATTTTGCATTTCTGTTCTGTAAAAGATCACTGCAGATAAACTGCAAAAGACCAATAAATTGTTTGTCTTCAGAAGCATCTCACATTTTGAATTGTGACTTTAAAACTGCTTTTTTCCCCAACATAGAATCCATTTGAGTTAGAAAAAGAGTTCTTTCCAAGTGTTAATAGTTATCTTGCACATAGTACCATTTTATGTCACCAATATTTAGTATGAGAAAAACCACCTGGAGTTTAAAAACTTTGTTTTGTATATCAGCTATTAAAATATCTGGTAGTTGGAAATCTCTTTAATATTCATTTTAAAAGAGGAAAGGGCATCTTTTCCAGAGGGAAGCTATATTTTATTAATCAGAAAAATACTAAATAAATGAGTTTGTAGGGAATATTAAGAGTGAAAAAAAAATGTTGAATGGGACATAAGCCAAAAAGACAATGCTTTTTATCATCTAAGAAACATAATTCTTTGGGAGGCAAAAAAAAAAAAAAAAAAAATACACAAATCATTCATTTGTTCACCCAGCCTGGCACTGTGCTTGGCGCTAGAGATACAGTAGTGAATACAATAGTAACTGCCTTATAGAGTTTTGTGCCTGTCTACTAGGAAAGACAGGACATTATACAGTACTTATCTAAGATACAAATTGTGATATGACATGAAGAAAAAGTATAGCATGCAGAGAGACACAGCACACTCAAGACATACCACATAAAGCTGGGTGTTTTTGTTTTGTTTTTTTAAGATGGTCTCACTGTGTTGCCCAGGCTGGAGGGCAGTGGAGCAATAACAGCTCACTGCAGTGTCGAATTCCTGTTCTTAAGTGGAATTCCTGCCTCAGCCTCCTAATAGTTAGGATTGCAGGCATGTGCCACCACACCCAGCATGTTTTTCTATTTTTTTTTTTTAGAGGCAGAGACTCACAATGTTACCCAGACTAGTCTCAAACTCCTGGCCTCAGATGATCCTCCTGCTGGGCCATAAACTTGATTTTAACTGTGGGAAATGGGAAAGCGTATGTCAGGACATTTTTCAAAGCTAGTTTATTAAGAAAGTAAAGAAACCACAGAATGGTTACTCCATGGACATTTATGGTGATAATCATAAAAATGGAGAGAAGGGGACAGAGTCCAGGTGAAGTCTGACAGAATGTAGTCACAGTTTGGAAGTGGAACATGAGGAGGAAGAAAGGGTTTCTAGCAAAAAAAAAAAAAAAAAAAAAAAGGCTAGATGCATGCAGGATCCCTGAGGAAAAAGAGTGAGTTCAGGAGCATGGTTTTTCGGCTTACCAGGTTTACAAGGTAGTTGTATCCATGGAAGTAGAAAGTGTAAATTTTGAAGTTGTATACAGAAATGGTACTTAAAGCCATAGAATGAATGAAATTGCTTAAGCAGAATGTAGTGTGAGATAAAGATCTGAGGAACTACAACATTTAGGGGCTGACTAGATCAGGGTAGCTGGCAAAGGGGACTGAGGAGTTTACAGGGTAATGTCAGTTGTCCACAGGAATCTTTCCAGATTGAAATAGCCAAATGAACAGTTACATGAGGACTGAAAAGTCCACTGGATCTAGCAATATGAATGTCACCAATGACCTTAGCAAAAGCACTTTTGCTGGAATAATGGGGGAAGCCATTTTAGGGTATGTTGAAATAATGAATGGGAAGTGAAGAAGTAGATTCTGATGTGTAGCAGTTTTTCCAAGAAGTTTTGGCTTAGAAGGGTAATAGATGGGATGAAAAGTGGAAAGAGAAATGAGGTCATTGGAGGATTGTTAAAGAGGCTCACACAACTTTGAGTGTCACTGGAAGGTTCCAGTGGCGAAGCTAAAGAAGTAGGTAAAGGTAAGAATAACCAAGGGACAGAAGTCTTGGAGCAGGGAGGAGGCAATGGGATTCTTAATTAAAACACCTTGAGCAAGAAACTAGGGGGAAAAAAAAACCCAAACTCTACCATCTCAGATTTCAGAGAAAGAGAATTTAGAAGGAAGTATGTAAGTAAAGAGCAACAATATTCTGTGTTTTTAATAACAAGGAAAATTCCTACTGGAGTTAACTCTGAACAGAATTCATTCCCACCTGCATAATACAAAATAGACTTAACTCAGAGTGACCTTAGAAAAAGGTGTAATCATAAAGAAATGAGATATCATTATGTCTTCATTGTAGCGTTATATGAAGCCCTGGTCATTTACTGTTATCAGTGTCACCAAACTGAACACTTAATGATTTTTACTCCAAGAGACAAGTCTTAGTGGTTTCTATTTTAACTGAAGGAGAGATTAGTTTCTGTGCAAGAATGAAAAAGGTGACCATCAATTCTTTGGGCTTCTCTCATCAAGAGGTAAAGTCCAGTACCCCTTAACTCTGGGCTGGCTTTGTTGTTGTTTTGACCAACGGAATGTGGCTGAGGCCCTGCTTCCAAGATGAGGCCTGAACTGAGGTCCCCCAGCAGCCAGGCACCACCTGCCAGAGGGTGAATAAAGCTATCTTGGACCACCCAGCATAGCCAACCTGTACTGAATGAAGCCACATGCATAAGCCTAAGAGAAACCAGCAGAGGAATCTCCGACTTTGCCCACAAGTTAGAGACATAAACCACTGTTTGAGGCAGTTCGTCATGCAGCAGTACTTAGCTAAAACTATTACCTTGCTACCTTGGCTGCTGGGGTAATTTCTCATCTCATGGAGCCACAGGGTTTTCTTGCCGACTGCAATGAGTTGGCAAATGGGAATGATGATCACTGGCCTGTGTGTTTTCTGATCCACTCCATCCTCTGTTGTCATCTCTATACTGCAAATGCCCTTTATTCCTTTAAATGCAATGTGTCTTTCAAAACTGACTTGAATGTCCTCACCTTTCAAGTGGAGTTACCTGCCATTTTGAGTCACCTATTTGGAGGCGATAGGTAAAGACCCAGCGTAATGCCTGTATCCTCAGTAAAAAACATTTGCTGGTACTTCTTCCTCCCCGGCCTGTGACCTGGCTGCTCTGGGCTTCTGAGGGCTCCCCCTAAACTCGCTCCACGAAATGCCCTCTCCATCCTGGCACACCCGCTCTCCTACCTTCACCCAGGGATGGCCGTTATCTCTGTGCGTCACGCGGGTAACTCCCATCTGAACTGGGAACTGGGGCCTTATGATTTTCGGTACTTTTATTTGAACGTGGGCTACGTCCCTGCATGGAACACAGTTCCTGCCTTGAAGGACCCTTACTTAACACCTCTGCGGGATGCCTGGACCCCACGACCCCACAGACGAAGAAGCCCAGCGTCATCCCTGCGCGCCCCGCCTTCTCCGGCGCTTCCGGGTGCTGGCGCTGAGGGGGCGGGACGTGGTCGTGCGCAAGGCCTGCCGGGTGCTCGGGATCGGAAGCGCCTTCTCCAGCTCGAGCCATCGCAAGGCCGTGAGAAAGACCGGAAGCAGCAGGTGGGTGAAGCGGAAGCGCTTCTAATCGGGATGCTGCGGGCCGTGGCGCGTGGGCGGGTGTGGGCCCTCGTGCGTGCGCGGGGTTTCTGGCGGTGAGCCAGGACCTGCAGGTCGCCGCCGCCGGTGCTGAAGGCTCTTGTCTGCACACTTTCCCCTCAGCGCTTGGGACGACCTGATTTCACTGTTAGGAACTGTTGATCATGAACACAGGAAGAGGGACGCGCCAGCTGTGTGCACGTCTCCTGAGAGCCAAAAGGGCGAAATAAAACATGAACACGATCATAATGAGATTCTGAGTAAGTTATATATTATCAGAGAGGGGCAAAATAATTGGTTCTTGGCAAAGTTTTAAGAAGAAGCTGCGCCTGCCTAGAAAGATAAATGAGATGGTGCTGTTTTCACTTTCAGTTCAGTGATGGGGAGGCGTGTTTGGCAGTGCAGAGGTCGCGAAGTGTCCCAAGAACGTGGAAGTTAAGGAAGTCTTCTGAGGAAAAACTTTATAAAATTGGCCATTAAAGGGTGAGAGTCGAGAGATGCAAAGTGATGTTGAAGGAACAAAATTTACCCAGACCTTCAAAGACTTGACACTATCCCGACGACTGTGAAATATCCTGAAATACTGTGGGGTTTTTTTGAGACTGAGTCGCTCTGTTGCTCAGGCTGGAATGCAGTGGCTCGATCTAGGCTCACTACAACCTCTGGGTTCAAGCGATTCTTCTGCCTCAGCCTCCCGAGGAGCTGGGATTACTGGCGCCCACCACCAGGCCCAGCTAATTTTTGTATTTTCGGTAGAGACGGGATTTCACCATGTTGGCCAGGCTAGTCTCCAATTCCTGACCTCGTGATCCGCCTCGGCTTCCCAAAGTGCTGGGATTACTGGCGTGAGCCACAGCGCCCAGTCATCTACTTTTTTTAATAGCCCTTTTTATCACCTTTATTCGTTTGACTCACTGATGAATTCCAGTGCTAGGAATGTCTGTCATGTAATTGAAGAAAACTTTGTTGAATTAATACCTTTGTTGTGTTTCATTCACACTGTATATACAATACCTGATGACTAGAGATATTTTGAGCACTATTAAAATACATGCATTGGCCCAATACATGAATTGGATCAAATCTGCAGCCTTAACAAGATCATATTTTGGCTAAAGTCAAAATCTTGGACTACAGTTAATTTATCAAGGTAAATGCCACTTTGATGTGTTTTGGTTAGGAATCCTTGTTCAACTGAGGGAATACATGTTATATAATAGGAACAGTAAGCACAGAATAGAGATAGGAAAGGGGGAACCCTGTGTTTGCCAAACATGAATGGCTTATGCATATGAACACATTCTCTCAACCATTTTATGAGGTCTGCGGCCCTTGAAGCAGCTAGAGGGTTAAACCGTTTCCTAAAGTCATTCAGCTAAGTGTCAGAGCCAGGATAAAAAAATGTAAGTTCTTAACTACTTTGTTATCCTGCCACACTCTGCATATGCAGACAAGAGTGAGAGCCTTAACCTTAGGAAAAGATATTTCACAAGATCTTTGACAATCTCTGTATTCATAGACACCATCCAGTTTATTAGTGTCCACCACTCGTCTTTGATACTTTCACCTTTAAGGCTCCCCCAACCTGAACTCTGGATCCCAACACCACCACTTTCCGAAGGAAACTCCCTTCTCCAATGTTGCCCTCTTGACTCCCCTACCAGCATCTGAACAAGCTCAGATCTTTTGCATCTTAAATCCTCTCCTAATTCCACATTGCTTTCTAACTACTGCCCTAGCTTTTCCACTTCACAACTAGAATACATTCATTGTATCCACCTTGGGCCTCCTGTTTACTCAGTACATATGATTCTTACCAAGATCACTGATAACCTTCTTGATACTGTTAATTGTAATAGATCCTTTCAACCCTCATCTTATTTGCTCAGTCTTTGGCATTTGGCACCATTAACCATCTTGTCTCCTTGAAACTTTCATAATAACATATTTTAAAATTTTCTCCCTTTTTTTCTATGCTTAGCTTCCTTTGGCAGTTCTCCCTCCATCTTCTGTATGTCCCTTAAATGTTGCTGCTCTTCAGGGTTATGTCACAGGCCCTTAAATCTTCTCACTGAATCATCTTCCTACGGCCTGAGTTACCATCCATTGAGCTCTATGCCATTGGCAGCTAGTTCAACACAATCAAAGTGAACCAATTATCTTAACCCCATACTTCTTCCTATAAAATCTGTTCTAGGAAATTTCACCTCTTTCCACCTTTTTGCCAGGCCAGAAATCAGGGCATAATATTAATAAAATAGTTAACACATATTGTGTACTTTCTTCATTGCCAGGCACTCTTCTAACCACTTTATATGTATTAGCTCATCAGACTCAGCCTGATATGAGATGAGTACCATCATTATCCATACATTAAATAACACATCTGAGGCATAGAAAAGTAATCTGCCTTAGGTCATTCAATGGATAAAGGCTAGAGTTGGGATTTCAATGAAGGCAGTCTGGTTTGAGCTTGTAATCAGTATATCATAAAGGACATGATTCTTCTCTTTCTCTTAGCCTAATTCAACCAGTTACCGAGTATTGTATATTCTCCATGCTTAAATCTCTGGGCAACATCTCTGAAGTATAAATCCAATCTTCCATTTGTTTAAAACCAGCACTTGGCTAGGCCCTCATGCCTGTAATCCCAGCACTTTGGGATGCCAAGGGGGAGGACTATTTGAGCCCAGGAGTTTGAGACCAGCCTGGACAACAGAGTGAGACTTCATTTCTACCGTAAAAAAAAAAAACAGCCAGGCATGGTGGCACATACTGGCTAAGGTGGGAGGATTGCTTGAACCCAGGAGGTCGGCTCCAGTCTGGGCAAAAGCGTGAAACAAAAAACAAAACAAAACTTCAACACCTCCCCCATGATTCTCAGGGTAAAGTTCAAGCATTTAACATGGATTTAAGGCTCTTTATAATCTTCTCTTGCCTTATTTTTAACTCCCATCCTTGTATTCCTAAGTAATAGCAAGTAGAATTAAATTATTTCTATGGGTCCTGTCTCCTTTTCCACTAAGCTGTTGCACATTGTTAGAATTCTTTTCTTTACCCCTTTTATGTCTCAGCTTCAATGTCACATCCACTAATTAGAGCGTCAGATGGCCCCTAATGTACTTAACACCTATCACAGCATTTTGTACACTGTATTTTAATTATTGCCTTACTTGTTTTTTAGTATCTTCCACTAGATTATGGAGATACTTGTTTCTTGTAGGCAAGGACCAGTTCACCTTCTTAATATCACTCATATCCATCCCCTTCTCTCTCTGCCTCTCTCTTTCTCTACTGCTGTACTTTAGGCCCCCATTATCTCTAGCTTGGACAACTGCCTTAGTCCGTTAACTGTTCATCCTGTCCCTAGTCCATCCTTTCTTTAATCCATGCTCAACCCGCAGAGGCAGATTTGTATAATGGCTGACTGAACAATTCCTGCTTAAAACTGCAGTGGAGCTTAGCTGCCTTTTAAAAAGTCCAAATATTGTAGTTATTTACATGAATCTATCTCCTCCCATTTTCTATCTCCTTATTCCCTTGTACCTAGTAGGCACTCCATAAATATTTGTTGAATGAATGTGGTACTGTATCAAAGTCAGTCAAACAGAACCAAGAACAAAGAGGTTAACCGAAGTAATGCAGTCTCAGTGCAGAGGCTTCCTAGGACAGTATAGCCATAGGCTTTAGTGGAACTCGAAGACCAGTAGTGTAACTCTTTATCTTAGAAGGGAATCCCCAAAACCTTACTATTAGATGACTCTTTGTCTTTGTGTATGCCTGGAATCTGCTCCTCCCATTGCACTCCAGCCTGGGCAACGAGAGTGAAACTCTGTCTCAAAAAAAAAAAAAAAAAAAAGATATACGTTATGTGGCTGAGTGCAGTGGCTGACGCCTGTAATCCCAGCACTTTGGGAGGCCAAGGTAGGAGGATCAGTTGAGCCCAGGAGTTCAAGATCAGCCTGGACAACATGGTGAAATCCTGTCTCTAAGAGAAAAAAAGATATATTACATAATGTATTTGCAGCAGACTTACTGTTCGAAAACTGTAAAACTATTTCAACTGCAATTATTTGAAATTTGTCTTTATTTCTTTTGAATACTCGGTTATAGCATTGCTGAAGACTAATTATAAAGCTAAAAGCCAAAAGCAACTGCACTGGATACTTAGAGATAAGTTTGGATTGAATAACCAATAATTGATAGCTAGAAAATAGAATTTAATGTTCCTTTTTTTGATGAAGTAATTTATTTGTCTTCCATTTTTAAAAGCATGCTGATCCCATTTTCAATGAAGAATTGCTTCCAGTTACTTTATAACCACCAGGTCCCAGCAGCTGGCTTTAAGAAAACAGTAAAAAATGGACTCATTATACATTCAATTTCCAATGATGTCTATCAAAATCTGGCTGTAGAAGACTGGATCCATGACCATATGAATCTAGAAGACAAACCAATTCTATTCTTTTGGCGGAATTCTCCCTCTGTTGTAATTGGTAGGCATCAGAATCCTTGGCAGGAATGTAACCTGAATCTAATGAGAGAAGAAGGTATAAAACTGGCTCGGAGAAGAAGTGGAGGAGGAGCAGTCTACCATGATATGGGTAATATCAATTTGACTTTCTTTACAACCAAAAAAAAGTATGATAGAATGGAAAATCTGAAACTAATTGTGAGAGCTCTGAATGCTGTCCATCCTCAGCTGGATGTGCAGGCTACCAAAAGGTTTGACCTTTTACTTGATGGACAGTTTAAAATCTCAGGAACAGCTTCTAAGATTGGCCGGACTACTGCCTATCACCATTGCACTTTATTATGTAGTACTGATGGGACGTTCTTGTCTTCTTTGCTAAAGAGCCCTTACCAAGGGATCAGGAGCAATGCCACTGCTAGCATACCTTCCTTAGTGAAAAATCTTTTGGAAAAGGATCCCACTCTGACCTGTGAAGTACTAATCAATGCTGTCGCTACAGAGTATGCTGCTTATCATCAAACTGATAATCACATTCACCTAATAAACCCAGCGGATGAGACACTGTTTCCTGGGATAAATAGCAAAGCCAAGGAACTACAAACCTGGGAGTGGATATATGGCAAAACTCCAAAGTTTAGTATAAATACTTCCTTTAATGTGTTATATGAGCAGTCACACTTGAACATTAAAGTATTCATAGACATAAAGAATGGAAGAATTGAAATCTGTAATATTGAAGCACCTGATCATTGGTTGCCATTAGAAATACTTGACAAATTAAATTCAAGTCTTGTTGGCAGTAAGTTTTGTCCAACTGAAACTACCATGCTAACAAATATATTACTTAGAACATGTCCACAAGACCACAAACTACACAGTAAATGGAATATTCTCTGTGAAAAAATTAAAGGAATAATGTGATTCCAACTACATTTCTTAATACAGTTAAGTTAGAAAATAAAATGTCTCATACATGCACATTGTTATGTCTCTTTAAAAAAAAAAAAAAAGCCTAGTCTCTCAGTAACTTCTCTCCATCTGAAATTATTTATAACCTATCCCTATCTCTGATCTCTGTACTTCTTTTTTTGTTTGTTTTGTTTTTTTTTTGAGACGGAGTATCACTCTTGTTACCCAGACTGGAGTGCAATGGCGCGATCTAGGCTCACCACAACCTCCGCCTCCTGGGTCCAGGCAATCCTCCTGCCTCAGCCTCCCGAGTAGCTGGGATTATGGGCATGTGCCACCATGGCCAGCTAATTTTTTGTATTTTTAGTAGAGACGGGGTTTCACCATGTTGACCAGGATGGTCTCCATCTCTTGACCTCGTGATCCACCCGCCTCGGCCTCCCAAAGTGCTGGAATTACAGACGTGAGCCACCATGCCCGGCCCTGTGTATTTCTTTTGACCTCTAGGATCCTCTTTCTTCTCTTTCTTTTTTCATTGATTTTATTTTATTTATTTTGAGACAGAGTCTCACTCTGTCACCCAGGCTGGAGTACAGTGGCGCAATCTTGGCCCACTGCAACCTTTATCTCCTGAGTTCAAATGAGTCTCATGCCTCAGCCTCCCGAGTAGTTGAGACTACAGGCTTGTGCCACCACTTCTATTTTTAGTAGAGATGGGGTTTCACTGTGTTGGCCAGGCTAGTCTCGAACTCTTGGCCTCAAATGATCTGACGGCCTCAGCCTCCCAAAGTGCTGGGATTACAGGCATGAACCACCATGCTCTGTCTGTTCACTGATTTTAATATCTGGCACATATTTATATGTCAGCTGCTGCTGCTTTTACTGTCTTGAGGATATATACAATATTGGACACTGTGACCTCAGAATTACTTCTCTGTTTTTCTTACCTCTCAGGGATATAACCCAGATTTCTTGCCTCCTCTCCTTATATCTCTAACTCTAAAATTTTCCCTTTTAGTTATATTTTCTTATCTTTTATTCTCTCCCACTAAAAATCAAGGCCGTTGCACTTTTCTAAGCTCTTAACCCTTCCCCAATCCCTCCTTGCATCATTTCCCTTCTATCCCAGCCTGAAATTTGCTTTATATTGTGCTTTCTTACCAGTATTCTCATTTGCTTCTCTCCTTTGACCTTCTACCATAGCCACTTTTTTAGTCTAAACTATTGGTTTTCTACTCTTTTTGGCAGTGATGCTAGGGGCAAAGATCATATAATCATTGGAGATAGCCCAGTTTGGTATATATAATTTTCAACTTACGTATCTTTCTGCTGATGTCAGATATAATTCATCTCTGGTTGAGTACCACTCATTCTTGAGGGGACTTAACTCCTAAATGTTTCCACTCTTCTCAAGCTCAGAATTCCACTACTCTTATCTTGTCACAAACCTTTATTCATAATTTGGTGAGAGTTGAGGCCTTCAGAAATGATCCCCTCCACCTGCTGTGACCCCTGTCCTCCCTTTTCCCCTCCCCTTCTATTCTTTCAAGACAGGGTCTTACCCTTACCCAGGCTGGAATGCAGTGGCATGCTCACAGCTCACGACTGCCTTGAACTCCTGGGCTCAAGTGATCCTCTTGCTTCAGGTTCTGGAGTAGCTGGAACTACAGGTGCTCAACACCATGCCCAGCTCCCTCTTTTTTTTTTTTTTTATGAGTTATTTCTTTTAATATATCTCAGTTCCAGGCCCTTTTTTTATTTTTAGGAAGAGCAGGCATGGACACAGGGTTTTGCTTACCACTGATTATCTCAGAGTGGGGGTGGGGTATGTGATTTTACTTTTCAAGTTGTTCTTGGGACAAACACGAGTGGCAGTTTAGCAGGTTTAATGGGCAGTTCCTTTTGTTATTTAGAAGCAATATTAAATACCAAGCAAACACAGCTTTGAAGAGATTTCTCATGGGCATATTGCACTTGTTGCCACATGTGAAAATTATTTTCTGAAAAAGGTCAAAAATCTTCATATGATGTGCTTTACCGCAGTAATATCATTTGTTTCTCCAGAGAGGATATCATCAGGTGATGGGTATTAAGAGCTTCGAGTTCCAGATTTCTGAATGTCTGCATATGGGGATGAGAGAGATGAGTCAAAATGGGGTGTGTGTGTGTGTGTGTGTGTGTGTGTGTGTGTATACACACACATATATATATGTAATGGCTCATATATATATATAATTTTATTTATTTTTTGAGACAGAGTCTCACTCTTGTCGCCTAGGCTGGAATGTAGAAATGTGATCTCAGCTCATTGCAACCTCTGCCTCCCAGGTTCAAGTGATCTTCCCACCTCAGCCTCCCAAGTAGCTAAGACTACAGGCCTGCACCACCATGCCCCACTAATTTTTGTATTTTGAGTAAAGATGGGTTTTACTATGTTGGTCAGGCTGTTCTTGAACTCCTGACCTCAGGTTATCTGCCTGCCTCAGCTTCCCAAAGTGCTAGGATTACAGGTGTGAGCCACTGCACCCGGCCTTTATGCCTAGATTTCTTATTTGAGATTGGATGGATGGGAGTTTACATGGGGAGTAGGGGAGTATATAAAAAAGTTCAATTGGGGTATGTGTGCTTGTGAGATGTTTGTGTGCTTCTGAGATGTCATATAGGCAGCTGAATAAGAACTCCAAGGAGAAGTCTTGGCTTAATTTGTAAATCTGAGGGCTGAGAGCATATAAAAAGTATTTGAAGTCATGAGAATAATTTGGGACTTTTATAATCTAAAGTTTAAATTTTAAACTAAATATTCAGCATGAGTCCCCTTATAGTTTGGGGACTTCTCTACCTTATAAGACCTGGTAGGAGGTAGAGCCTGTTTCCTGCCATGGAAACAAAAGATTACTATACTCTTTCCTGGCCTTGCTTGAAGCACAGGTGTGGGCACATGACTTACTCTGCCAATCAGATGCACCTGCTCCATACTTCGAATTAGACACTAGTGATGCAGAAAATCTGGAATGATAAGAACCCTTCTCTGGAAGTTGCGACAGGAGCCAAAATTTCTGGGGTAACAAAGGCAATGAGGCTGGCAGTGGTAGTGTCTGTGCTGGTGATGCCAGTGATGTAGGCTGCTGCATCCAGCCCTTGCATCAGTGTCGGCAGGGGTGTCATCTGATCCATTCTGGGTGGCGATTCTAGATGCGATTTTTCACTGCAAAACCTCTATGTCTCTGTCCATACCTCAACTACCTACTATTCTGATAATAAATCCCTTTTTTGCTCGCATCAGGTAGGAGCAGTTTTTGTTGCTTTTTACTAGGAATACTTACTATGTAATCACTTAGGGAAAGAGTGTGAATTAAAAAGAAAAAAAAAAGAGGTTACTACCTAATACCTAGCTTGGGAGAACTTCAGTATTTAAAAGGTAAGAAGAATGGAGGAAGAAAGGATGTTTCATGCAAGTCAAGAGTTTCAAGAAGGCAGTAGCCAACTGGGTCAAATGCTTCTGAAACGTCACATAATACAAAAGATTTAAAGTGCCCATTGGATATGATGGTATAGAGATCACTGCTGACCTTAGCAAAAATGATTTCAGCGGAGTGACTGGGGCAGTAGCCAGACTGAAGTAAGTTAAAGTGAATAGGTGGTAAGGAAATTAAAAACAAACAAACAAACAAACAAAAAACGCATACAGAGAGCACTCTTTCAAGAAGTTTGTTCATGAAGAACGAAAAAATTGGGTGGCATCTGGCTCAAGATGTGTGTACTGATAGGAATGATGCAGTACAGCAGGAGAGATTGCTCTAAGGACCAAGTCCTTGTGGGAGGCTAAACGAGGTCAGGTCAAGGTCACTGCCAAAAATGTGGCCATCATCCTTATATATTAGGAATATTGACTCTTTCTAATTTTACAATTTGATCTCTCTCTTTTTTTTTTTTTTAACTTAGTTTATGGTTCCTTTCACTCAAGTTTAATATATTTACATGATCAAGTCTTTTGCTCTTTCCTTAATAGTTCTGGGGCCTTCTGTTATACTCAGTTCATTAAGTGGGATTTTAATATATATGTGTGTGTATATATATATATATATATATATACACACACATATATATAACATTAATTAGCTCTATAGTACATTTAGAATTATTTCTTTATATGTCAACATCATTATAGAAAAATTTCTGTATGTGGAGTGAGATTGTGGGCTTAATGTTATTTCTTCCAACCATTTAATATCTCCACTAATTTGAAATGTTACCTTTATTATATATTAAATATCCATTCATACACATTTACTTTCTCTCTTTCAAATGTGTTTCTGGATTCTTTTATTCTATCCCACTGATTTCTTTGCCCATGCCTATGCCCATACATTTTTTAGAAAATTATTGTAGCTGTGTCTTTACAGCTGGTCAAGCAAGTCTAGCATCAGTGTCTTTTGTCATTTAATTTATAAATTAAGTTAGAGAGAACTGACATTAAGTCTTCCCATTCAGAAATATAATTTATCTTTCTAGTTACCCTAATTTTCTTTTATATCCTTCCATAAAGTTTATAGTTGTTCAAATAGTTCTTATACATTTGATATATTTAAACTGCACCTGGTAGGCTTCTGGTGCGCTAATTAGCTCTGGGGATAGAACTCCAAATATCTAGAATGGATAGCATGTCTGTAGACTATTTTCTTTAAATATCACTATCTTATCCAGGACTTTAATAGGAGTTGGATAAAAGTTAATTACATGGGGTTGTGGATTGCTAATTCTCCATAGTAACAGATTCATATGCTTTAGATCAGAATTGTTATTTCAACATGAAGGTAAAGAGGCCTAACACTTGTTCTCACCTTAATTAATAGCTGCTTCATTTCCACATGGCATTGGGTACCAGGCAATATAAGCTAAGATACTCCACAGAAAGGAACTTTGGATCAGGCCAACACTTGTTCAGGTGTTTTCCTGAGACTCTGAATTTCCGTATGATAAAGCTTAGCAAGAATCTAAATTCAGATTCCGTATTATCAGCACCTAAACCTGAAAACATAAAAAAAAAAACAAAATCAGGAACTGTTCTGGAAGCCCTTCCTGTCCTTTTATGCCAGCTCTATCTTGTACCTATCAGCTGTCCCACAAAAGCAAAACGGTGTCCAAGGCTTGCACAAGACCACTCCGTCCAACCTTATTCCCATGGTCTCTATCTTTGGTCCTCCACACTGTTTAACTCTGTTGAATAGTCCTCAGAGGTGACATTTATATGTGCACTCTCCAATACTGAACACTGGTACTGTAATTTTCCTCTTACATACGTTAGCTTAGCTTTTTCTTTAAGCTGTGGACTGCCCACTATCTCTAGCATACATCCCCTCTTCCAGCCTGTCTCCATGGAATCTAATCTGTCTCCAACCACACAACTGGCATCTGGATGAAAAGCTTACCCAGAACAGTTGATTCTCTACCACAGGGCCTTACAAATGTGCCAGCCAAAGTGAATAAGCTGCAAAATACATTTAGATGACTGAATGGGTTGATTTGCCTCTTTGGAGGGCAACTGCAAGATGGTAAATGTTTACTAAAGACAATTACCTTAGTTGTGACAAAATTAACATTTTATTTTTTTCCTGTTTATTAGACCCCAAGCCCATCTGGGTTTTTTTTTTTTTTTTTTTTTTTTTTTTTTTCTGTTTTTTTTTTTTTTCCTTTTTCTTTTTTGAGACAGGGTCTGGCTCTATCATTCAGGCTAGAGTGTAGTGCTGCAGCCTCATCCTAGGTTCAAGTGATCCTTCCGCCTCAGCCTTCCAAGTAGCTGGGACGCAGTTTGATTTTTTTTTTTGCAGAAACAGGTTGCCCAGAAACAGGTTGCTCCATTTGTCTCTTTAAAAGCACCCTAATTCATGGTATCTTTCCCTCCTGGACTCAAAACTCCCACAGGCAAGGTTAAGAACTAATTTATCTTCCTAATAGTTGCTCATAATTTATTGACATGATCCCACAGCCAAATAACAGAAAAGCTGGTAAAATGTTTAAATTAGCTGTATTACTTGAAAGAAACATTGTAAATCTACTCGGTAATGTATTTACAAAAATATTTAGGATTGTTCCCACAACTGAACAATGGATCTATTAATTAGTAGAAATATAAAAGTTTATTGTTAAATTCATACATTATAAAGTGATCTGTTAAAAAAAATCCAATATTCACTTAAAGTAGAAATAATATAAATTAGGCTACTGCCCGTCATATATTTTTTGTATGCTTCTTATGAAAAATGTCCACCGTTGTTTCATGACATGGTCTTAAATCAAAATCACAATATCCAAGAGAAAAACGACTCTGAGAAGAGAAGAAAAGAGTATCATTAAAAATGATACAAAGACAGTGCTACACATTTACTCATAAGATTAAATCCTACCTGTGGTTTCTTAAAATAATCAAGTCCTCTTCCAATCTTAATCATCCATCCATTGTTGAACCTGTTGAAATTAGTATATAGCATTATATTCAAGACATTTAAGTCAGACCATTAATAAAGTTGCAGTTAACTGCCAGCAAAATTCCCCCTAACAAAGTAAACCACTTCCACCAGTGGTATGAATTGAATCAAACCTGGGGTTCATTATGAACTGTGTTCACAATGAAAACAGTCATAGAAACATCAGTTGATTTAATTATCTGATAGTTTAACAATTAAAATTTAATCTTGAATTTCAGCTTGTTGATAAAACTTTTTCATGTTCTGCTAACAAGTGGTGGCAAAGTGTATTCAGGGAAACTGGTAGTGTTTCAAGAGTTCCCCTACCTAGAGATGGGGAATGTGCAGGAAGAGCTCTGGACCCTGGCCTCTGCTATAGCAGCTGCATTTTCATCCATTTTGCATATTTAGTTTGTGATTTTTTAAATTCAAACTGAGTTCCCTTGCTATAAACATATAACCACTGTGCTAAACAAAAGGAAGACATCACTAAAATAACTTCATATATTGTTTTTTTATAGACTCAGCAAATTGTCATGCCTACTAGAATATTTAATAACCTATAAAAAGTAAAACCACATTAAATATTAAGTTCACTAAAAAATAAATTATCCTAATATCGTAACACTATATATACAGTTGAGTAGACAGAAAACTATTCTCTTTCTACATGACACAGAACATATAAATAGTATTCCATTAGGAAATATTAAACTCACACACAAAACACTTGGCTTAGTTTTGGACAAAGTAAGCAAACTGTTTTTTTCTTCTCAAAAGTGAAAAATTACTTAATGGAGTTTTATTTAAATTTTAAATATTTATAAATATTAAATATTTATATGAAATTATATAAAACATTGAGACATTTTTAAAGTATGTATCAAAGACTGAATAAAAATTGAAACATTATTGTAGACTAACCTAATTTCTCGGTCATGTATTGAAGAAGAGTATTGTACTTCCAACAGCACTCCATGACTCCTGAGTGACTCTTCTATTTCTTTCAGGCCCCTACTTTGCTGCACCTGCTCACTGCCCTGTTAACAGCAAAATTATGATTATCTGCCTCAGTTATTATTGATATCTTAGATTATCCCTAAGCTATCTAATGAATATCATAGGTAGATTAAGATGGAAATGTTCTATACTAGTTTCAGTCTCTATTATCTCAAAGAAGCAACCAATGTGAGATAGTTTAAAGAGCAACTGTTTTTAATCAAGATAATTGTTTTGTTTTTTTTTTCTAATGTGAATGTAACTCCATCCTGTCTCCTTAAATGTAGTTTAGAATAGTTTGTCATCCAGGTGGAGTGGGCTTCTTTGGAAATCAATCATAGATATCATAATTATTTAGAAGCATTCCTGTTTGAAGTCAAAACCAAGATAGAGATGCCCACTACCATATCATGCTACCATCCCCCAGATAAAATAATGGGTAAAGAAACAAAATTATCCATAACGCAGACAATGTGACCGCCTCCTAGAACACCCAAGAGACTAAACTAACAAACTATTTGAATAAGGGCATTTAGCAAAGTGGCCAAATACAAAATCAGCATCCTAAAATCAGTAACTTTTTTTTCAGGACATGCTATGCATACTGTTAGATAATAAATTAATTCCCAAGGAAATAATTTAGCTTAAGCACTGCATCTGTGTTTTCCTTGACTGGACTACATCTTGTAAGTGAATAAAGTTATTAAGAAAGAGTAAGTGCTTTCAGATACCTACTTCATCCAGAGAGGTGAGAAGGTGAATAGTTTTTACTTTACATGGTCTCTTAATAAGCATCTCACAAAATCGAAGAAAGTTATACAGCTAAAAGACATTAGAATGGATTATTACTAACTTAGTACATTGAAATTAATATTTCATTACATTTTAGTATATTCACATACCTGATGAGTATGTCTAATATAAGGATCTTCTATCCAAACTTCTGTAACTGTCTCATTGAGGTATTCGCGAAAAAGTGACTCATAACTGAAACCTGTTGCATTCTCTTCTATTTTAATTTGCTTGTGATATTTTCCATCTATAAAACACAAGCTTCAACAATAAAACCAGTGACCATTTTTTACACATTTTGTATTTTATATATAGTGATTAATCATCAGGTACATATTAATTTTTAAATTTATTCATTGAGCAAATATTTATTGAATGCCTACTAAATATCATACACATTGCAGGATGTTACACATGCAAAGGTATTTAAGGCAAACCACTCCATTAGTGATTTCTGCCTTCACAGAGGCTAGGCAATAGGGAAAATCCAATGAGGTTTCCTAGAACAAGTCCTTGAGCCGGATCCTAAAGACCAGGCAGTTTGTTGAAGGAGTAGTGTATGCATAAAGGTATCCAGTAACTTCCTGTCACCATGGGTAGCACCACATGCTATATAACTCAGTAGCGATCTGGCCCTTCTCTTCAGACTTGTTTTTTTATGTCTTGCAATCAAATTACTGAAGTGAATATTAAACATGAATGCAGGGTCAGGAGCAATGGCTCACGCCTGTAATCCCAGCATTTTTGGAGGCCAAGGTGGGTAGATCATTTGAGGTCAGGAGTTTGAGTCCAGCCTGGCCAACATGGTGAAACCCCACCTCTACCAAAAATACAAAAATTAGTCAGGCATGTTGTCAAGCACATGTAGTCTCAGCTACTTGGGAGGCCAAGGCAGGAGAATCACTTGAACCCGAGAGGTGGAGGTTCCAGGGAGCTAAGATTACGCCACTGCAGCACTCCAGCCTGGGTGACAGAGTGAGACTCTGCCTCAAAAAAAAAGAAAGAAAACATGAGTACAGTATAATATGGAGCTCTGAAGTCTTTCTTGGCATATGTAGAGTTTTAAACAGAAATTTATAGTACTTAATAACCCAAGCTGAAGACTGGGATGTCACAGGATCAGTAGGATAGATCTATTGCTTTTGTTAATTCAAAATGAATACTGAATAAGTTATCAGAAACCTTTAAGGTTTTAAAAAAATATGTCCCCTAATGGTAGTCCCTAAATTATATGGTATCCTCTAAATTGTACTACACACTTTGTTTAAAAATCAGTAGTTTGGATTCTGTTCCAAATAGTTCCACAGAGATAATGTTGGCAACAATGCCTTATTTTTTAAGCCAAGCTAGCCACACAAAGGCTAATTTAATTCCATGTATTCAAACCACAATGCTGATGGCACTGTATTTCATCAAAGTTTTGGAGTAAAATTTCATTCTAGATTTCAAATTGGAGTGAAGGAAACATAAATGTTATCCCCACAGAACAAAGGAGCTCAGTGGCGGTCCCCAGGGTATGTATTGATAGAGAATAGTGGGAAGAGATGGGGAAAGGGGTGTAGAAAGTACACAGAGTAAGAACAGCTGGGGTCTGCGGGCACTGGCTTTTGAGGGCAGCAGTACCTTTGGCCATAGACAAGCAGCAGTAGTGTGCACTCAGGTAAGAGTGGAAATGGCCATTTACAGACATTTGCAAACTGGATGCTTAGGAGTAGTAACTAATAATCAATAGGGAACAATACCTACCTCACCTCTAATCATTAGGAATACTTAATTCCTGAGGTGTTTTGATTCACAACAAAATCTGAGAGAAATCCCAAGAGTTTCTTTAGCTTCTTTCATGATTTTGTTCATTTCATAAAGGGAAATATAAATAAAATACACAATTTACATTCAGTATTCCTCTGTGGTATTTCTTAACATAGGGTACACATAAGCATCATAGGGATCTGTGAACTCCTTAAAAATGGCATGTAACATTCTGCAGTATGTATAGCTTTCATCAGACGTTCAAAGGGGTTCTGACATCCCCGCCCCCAACTAAAAAAAAAAAAAAAAGATTAAAAACAACTCCTGTATGGGAGTGGAAAGGCAGAGTAAATCCTGTAAGCTCCCAGGGACAACTGGTCCAGACCACGCAGAGCTCCAAAGGGCAGGAGCTGGAAACACTGGGTGAACGGACGGACGGTCACTGTAGTTTACGGACATGTTTACTAAAACAGCCTCTTTACCCTCTTTTTCTTGGTCCAAGTACTTCTTTATGTTTTCCGCTCTGTCCATGTATTTGGAAATTCTTTCTCTAAGATTACATCTCTTAGTATTATCTTTGGTACCTATAAGTTAAAAATACATATATCATCAGTTATCAAAACGGTTTTTCTGTTTAATTCAGGCATTATTTTCAGTTTCTCAAGTTTTCTATAAATTGCCTATCCTTTAGTATGGTTTGCCAGTCAAATACACACAATAAGTTCAAATTTGTCTTGAACATACAAGACCTTCATTTTTACACTAAGCATGTGATGTAGCTTAGTTTAGGAGTGGAAACTCCTGACACTGTGTCTCATCTCTGGGACACCAAATCTGGTGGGATGAAAATGTCTTATTACATGTCGAATTCATGTCTGAGCACTATTTTATCCTAATTACCATAAGTTTGAAGTTTTAGCATAACTAAAAGTTAGCAAAGAGTATTTATTTTCCACAAAACCAGCTTTTCTTCCAGACCTCCTCATTATAGTTAATGCACAGTCATTTTTCCAGCTACCCCAAAAGTGTTATTTTTGAATACACATGATCATAAAGTTTTATCCCAACCATTCCTCCTGCCAAATCAGTCACCAAATCACTTCTTGTTCCTTCCCTTCCTTCCTTTCAACATCGCTTATATTTTCCATAATAATTTCATTTTAATCACTCACTTTAAAAAGCATTTTGAGTTCGTTATATTTACAGAAAAGTTGCAAAAATGGCACAGATAACCTTCACCTAGATCCCCCTAATGTTAACATATTACAAACCATACTGTAAGTATCAGAGCTAAGAAATTAACACTGATACAATACTATGAACTCGTCTACAAACCTTATCTGAATTTCACCAATTTTCCCATTAATGAAAGTTTGTTTTCTGGTCCAGGATCTCACATTGCATTTAGTTATGTCTCCTTAGTCTCCTCCAAGCTGTGATAGTTCCTTAATCTTTCTCTGCCGTCTATGACCTTGACCTTTAAGAATAATATTGGTCAGTTATTTTTGTGAAATGTCTCTCATTTTGGATGGTCTGATGTTATGATTAGACTTGGTTTATGCATTTTTGGTAAGAAAATCACAGAAGTGATGTGCCTTGCTCAGTGAGTACATGATGTTGATATGTCTTACTATTGATAACATTAACTTTGACCACTTGGTAAAGATGTAGTTCAGATTTCTCCACTGTAAAATCACTATTTTCTTTTTTGTAATTTATAAGTACCTTATGGAAAGATATCATGCTTCTCATTACTCTTTCTCCCACTAATTTTAACATCTATTGATGGTCCTTGCCTGCAACAACTGTGACTTTGATGTTTGCAAAATGGTGGTTTTCTATTTCCGTAATTCCTTCTCAATCTGTTTATTCAATTAAAGAGTATAGGCTCATGAATATTTATTTTATTCTATGAGTCATAATACAATACTACATTTTCCTGCTCAAATTGTATCAGTTTTGGCTTTGATATCTCCTTCATGTTGGTTTCTGTGTCCTTTTGTCAAGCTCCCATTGCTATTGAATATGTCCTTACATTTTCATGCAAGATTTTTTTGTTTTTGTTTTGTTTTGTTGAGACAGGGTCTGGCTCTATCACCCAGGCTGGAGTGCAGCAACATGATCTCGGCTCACTGTAACCTCTGCCTTCCAAGCACAAGGAATCCTCCCACCTCAGCCTCCCAAGTAGCTGAGACTACAGGCACACACTACCATGCCTGGCTAATTTTTGTATTTCTTTTCCATTTCCTGTAGAGACAGAGTATCATCATGTTGCTCAGGCTGGTCCCGAACTCCTGGGTTCAGGCAATCCAGCTGCCTAGGCCTCCCAAAGTGCTGGGATTGCAAGCATGAGCCACCATGCACAGCCACAAGATGTTTTAAACCAAACTTGTCCAACCCTTGCATGCGGCCCAGGACAGCTTTGAACAAGGCCCAACACAAATTCGTAAACTCTATGAAAACATTATGAGGCGGGGTGTGTGTGTGTGTGTGTGTGTGTGTATGTGTTAGCTCATCAGCTGTCGTTTGTGTTAGTGTATTTTATATGTAGTCCGCAACAATTCTTTTTCCAATGTGGCCCAGGGAATCCAAAAGATTTGTTAAAACTCATCTTGTTTATTTTTTCCCCCAACCCTGAAATATACTTTTCCAAGCAGCCTCAGTCACATTTATTGAAGAGTGGTATTGAGAAACCAAAATCTGAGTGCCAGGTGTGTTCATTGCTACTGGGGAAGTCCCACCACTACTTCTAGACCCTCTCAGTCAATACAGCTAGGAAGTATATGTAGGTTAACTCATACATACATCTATATTTGTTTCTATCCATCGTATAAATATTAAAAACCCTAAGTTCATGCTGATAACTTTGATTCCACAGAGCTCATTCTAGCTTTCCCCAATCCCTCTCCTGCCCAAATAAAAGCAAAACATAACCTTTCCTCAACTTTGCTAGGCTTTAAACTATGTAGTAGTCTTAGTCATTGTCCTTATCAGCTGGCAATGTCTCACACATAGACCCATCCTTCAATCATTATGCCACATTTTCTCAGGCTTGGAACCTTACAGCCATCTTTGATTCCCATTAACCTTACTCCCATATCTAATCATATGCCAGTACCCCCTCCTTATCTTAATATTGGTATCATCTCTCTGGTTCAATCAGGCCTTTATCACATCTCATCTTTTTTTCTAAAGGTTTTATGTAATTTTAATTGGCACATGATAATTATACATATTAATGGGGTACAATGTGATATTTTGATACATGTAAACATTGTGTAATGATCAAATCAGGGTAATTAGCATATCTGTTATCTCAAATATTTACTGTTTCTTTGTGGTAAGAACATTGAAAATCATTCTAGCTATGTTGAAACATACAACATATTATTAACTATAGTCACCCTATTGTGTAATAGGACACCAGAATTTATTCTTCCTATTTAACTGTATTTTTTTTTTTTTTTTTAGAGAGAGAGACAGGGTTTCACCATGTTAGCCAGGCTGGTCTCAAACTCCTGACCTCAAGTAATCTGCCCACTTCAGCCTCCCAAAGTACTGGGATTACAGGTGTGAACCACTGTACCTGGCCTCTAACTGTAATTATATACCCTTTGACCAACCTTTCCCCATTCCTCTTACCACCTCAACTCTTCACAGCTTCTGGTAACCATCATTCTACTCTCTACTTCTATGGTATCAACTTTTTTAGATTCCACATATGAGTGAGATCATGTGGTATTTGTCTTTCTGTGTCGGTTTGTTTCACTTAACAATTTCCTACAAGTTCGTCCGTATCTCAAATTACAGGATTTCATTTTATATGGCTGAACAGTATTCCACTACGTATATGTACCACGTTTTCTTTATCCATTCATCTATTGATAGACACTTGGGTTGATTCCATATCTTGCTATTATGAATAGTGCTGTAGTAAACATGGGAGTACAAATATCTCCTTGACATAATGATTTCATTTCCTTTGGATATATACCCAGTAATGGGATTGATGGGAGCTCTCTTTTTAGTTTTTTGAGGAATCTCCATACGTTTTCTATACTGGCTATACTCACCTCTTATTTAGATCCCAGCAGGAGCTCCTTAATTGATCTGCTTAACTTCAGTCTCTACAGGTTAATGTCTACTTTACATCCTTGCCATATTCAGTCCTTTATTCAAGAAATACTTATTGAGAACTAAAAACATGCCAGGCATTGTTCTAAGTGCTGTAGATATAGTGGTTAATAAAACAGACACAATTCTCCTCTATTGTTCAAGTAGGAAGAAAGAGAACAATAAAAATAAATTGGTGAAAGATGTATATTAGATTGAAATAAGTGCTATTAAATGAAGTCATGAAAGATGACAGGGAGTGCTGGGATGGAGTTATAATTTTATACTGGAGATCTAGGAAGGCTTCACAAAGAAGGTGACATTTGTGTAAAGGCCTGAAGTAGAAGAGAGAATATGTTGTGCAAATATTTGTGAGAAAGAGCATATTCCTGAAAGAGACCAGCCCTGAAATGCAACTCAAATTATGTTACTTCTTCATAAAAACTTTAAATGGTTTCTCCTTACCTGTGGAATGAGTTAAAATCTCCTGGTAGTCAAGGCCATCCACAATGTGGCCCAAGCCCTTATCTACCTTTAAACTTTACTTCTCATTCTTCCTCTTCAGACACATGCTCAACCAAACTTAACTACTTATTTGGTAAGACAGGCAAAATTTGAAGACTCTTAGATGAATTTCTGACTTCTGAAATTCTTTTTCCTCCAAAGCCCCAATCAAACTCCACCTCTACCTTTCCACCATCACATGACCTTTAACTGTTTAAATCCTCATTGCACTTACCTATAGATATCTCTCTCCTGGCACTTACGTATTAGCGTTATTTGCATTTTGGGTCTTAACCCATCTATGTCATGTCACTGTCTCTGTAACTTCTATGGGATCAGTGAAGCACACTGGAGCAGAACTGTGATTCTCCTGCTTGAGGTTCCTAGAACAGCCAAAACTTGAGCAGTGTTCTGCCTGACCAACACAGTACACCATCTCTCTTTGGGGATTCAGTATACCAGTCATTGAGGCCTTGGGCTCCAACTAAGACTCTACCACCTGCTCCAGCTGTGACTCTACCACCTCCTAGTGGCAGAACTTGAAAGCTTACAATACTTTTTATGCTGTAAAATGAGAATACCATCAACTCCTACTTGATAGAGCAATTGGTACGGATGAAACAAGATCATGCTTGTAATGTTCTCTGCGGTACCTGGCACTCAGCACTGAAATGTGATGGCTACACTTATTGCTGTTGTAATCATTATCATGAAATAATGCCCCAGGCAATGTTTATAGTACTGACTAAGGCACCAAACCATGAAGGACTCCCTCTGCTGCCTCAAAGCTTCTGTAACACTTTAATTATAACAAGCTTAAACCAGAAAGCACAGAGGAAGTGATCTTAGTCCAGATCATCAGTGCCAGGGCATCTTATCAATTTAATACATAAATATTGAGTGTCTACTGTGGGCCAAGGCTGTACTGGATGTTAAGGATATTTGGGTATTTCTCAACATTGAATAA